ATTTGTTCAAGAATGTCTACCGAACAATATTCAAAAACAACACCAAAAAAATTCCATCAGGAAAGCCCATTTCTATGCCCGTTTCAGACATCTCTAAAATTGCTTAACTGTTACGTGATACGAACGCACTGTTTGAAGGTCCGAAAATAGACTAAAGGCATCAAAAATTAGCCGATTTCTTTGCAGAACATAAAAATTCGGGCTTTTGGCTATCCGAAACCGTCCCAAGCTAGTCGCTACGATGAAATCTGAAAGTTGACCCTCACTTCCGCATTTTTCTAGAATTGCCCGGCTATGAGAAGGATCCATTCCCACAGGCATACGGCAGACTACGCCCCACCTATTTTGTGTAACTGTGTAATTCGACGTAACATGTGGAAAGTTTGCGTGAGAGTTAAAGATTGTTGCAGAAACTATGAAGATTGCCTGACACCAAAACCGGCTCGGGCTCGATGTATTGTTAAGTGCGTCTGGATGGGCCATGGACCACTCTGCTCTGCTCCTTTTCAACCTCGCGTAATCAAATCAGCAACTTTTCGTCGCAGAAGTCGAATTAACGTTACAAGTTATAACACAAATAACGGTTTCAATGCCGGTGGGGTGGGTACTTTGTGTGTTAAGTTATGGACCCTAGCCAGGACAGGAGTACTTAGGCCCTTGGAGACAAGGCTCGAGTCGGAAAACGATGAAACTTTTAGAGTTACAGAGATGGGCTTTGTTAAAAGATCAACGGTTATCTTATCCATATTAGTAATGAATTCAAAACGGGGCCAGTTACATACTTACCTCGAGAAGCTGCTTCCTTGTCACTCTCGTGAGGTGCAATGCACGTAGGCAAGGCATCTGTGTGGCAGCCATGTGCAAGTGATCGTCATCAGTATTGCTTAGTCCTAGAACTTCGACACGTGGGGCTATTTCACGGATGACCAAGTGGCCCCAACGGCCCTCGTTAAGTCGACAGCGAAGCCCGACTAGGGTACGCACCTGAAACAATGCAGCCACATCATACGCCCATACACGGTTGGAAAAGTTCGGATTTCATGGAAATGTCATGAAAATAATTGCCAAAGTCCTTCCTTGCGGAATTACCAACACGCAGAGAAAACCCTTTGCTAATTTAGCTAATTTCAGATAGCAGCCGTTGGTTAGCTAAGGTGGTTATCTACTTTGCGAATAGTTAACTTGGACCAAATATTAGCCAGGTCAAAAATTAGGACACTCCTTCGTCGGTACATCGTCGCAGCGCGCTGACCAGAAAGGGACGATCTACTGACGGCGCCGTGTCCCGCAGTTCCACTCGGGGGGTTTTAAATCGATATGAGTTATTCCAGAGGTGAAAATGTTAATTTGAAGTGGGTAATCGGCCAGCTGTGCCTACGCAACGACGTAAACAAGAGCAGAAGGCAAATGGCGGCGAAATCGTACATCCAGCGCTACGGGTGGCGGAAAGAGGAACTGTGCTAGCCTCGGTGCTAGCAGACACATCGACATACGAGAAAGGGAGATTTTTGAACGGGTATATATATTTTAACTGTGAACGTTTTCGGTTAATTTAGAGTTTCGGTGTAACTTCCCCATCCCTTGGGAGTACGCCGAACAAGTTGTTTTTGCGACCAGTACTCTCCATATTTTTAACCGCTCTAAAGGCACCGTGTTCTAGGGGGTGGCTCGCAGTACCCTCTCCTTTCCCAGTCCTCTCTTGCTTTAAGGGACTGTCTAAAACGTCTGTCTGTGCTTAACTTATGAGCTATAGCTATGCCGGGTGTCAGGGGACCACGCGGCAGCTTGACGGGTTGCCTACGCTCTGGCGGGCAGACGCGGAGGGCGTGCGGGGGGGGGGGGGGGGGGGGTGGGTGTGGGGGGGTAGGGGGTGCGGGATGCGCATCCCGCTACCTCCACCGCTCCCCCCTCGCCCTCCGCGCCTGCAGGCAGAGCGTACCCAGCCATCAAGCTGCCAAATAGTATTCTGGACACCCGGTAGCGGCAAACGACGCAGAAATGCTTCACCTATCGTTTACCATTTTCAGAAAATTTACAACTTACACCACCGATTTTTCCTAGCGCTTCAAACTCAAACGTGCACGTGCGTCGCGCGGCCAAAATGCAACTGAGTCTTTCTTAGCAGCCTCCCACCGACCAAACCGTTTTCAGCACCCGTCGCTCGGCCAAGCCTTTTTCTGCAACGGTCGCGCGGCTAAGCCTTTCTCATCGACGGAAAGTATCGAGCTAGGAATGACGCTTTGAACTGTCGGACACAGGGTGTCCTACAAAAAGAACTGTAGTACTAGTCGCGTCCTACACTTTCAACTGTAGTACACAAAATGGTACCACAGTTTCAACTGCAGTACCATTGGTCCTGCAGTTTAAACTGTGATACTGAACGACACTTGAATTTCTTGAGTAGTAGTACGGTCACTACATAAGCGAAATAAGTTACAAATGCACTTATACCTCCTTTAAACGCCCAGACGACAGTAACATAGTGGACATTTTCGGCACATCAGCGTTAAAGATAGACCATGCGTCGTACGCGTGAGGGCCGTCCACGTCACCTGCATTCCATGTTTCTAGCAACTGCAACATCAAAAAACAAGGAAAGGTGTTCGCACAGCCACAAAAAATGTTACATAGCTCTTTAAGCATCAGTGCCACTTTAAAACTAAATCGAGTGCTAGGCAGCAATAAATTGAGTTACGAAATGTAATTAAGAAGTTACTTTTATGTTTAGTTACCGTTACAATATTATATCTGCACTGTTAAAAAAAATTGCGATTTTACAACACTTTTACCAGACGAAGAGATCTGAAAATCACAATACTTTTCTGGGAACTAAAATCCCAACACTCGTTCGTACTTCCCAGAATATCTACGTGTTTTTCTTTTCCAACATTCCTTTGTAACCAATCTACAAATGACCTACGTTTTAATCTATGAAATCTACGGAATTAAGAAACACCAACATGTCTCTGTTAAATTCTAGAAAAAATTGTAATTTTTAATGGGTCGGTTTAATTCACATCAATGGCAAATACAGTAGCAGGCTATTATTTCTTGCATCTGCATCCCAGTTGACAAAAAAATTTCGACATTGCACCATTCAGTTTTAAGATGTAAAGAAAACGATACTTTGTTGGGAATTTCTGCGAAATAGTCCGAAATACAGGCGAAATAGAGCGAAATAAAGACGAAAATAGACGCGAATTAGTCGGTGAAATAGTCGCGAAATACTCCCCTGAAATACTCCGAAATAGCGCGAAATATCCTGAAATAATCCGAAATAGGCGGGAAATAGCCGAAATGGCATGAGAAATAACCGAAATGGTAGGAGAAATACCACGAAATAATCCGTACGCTACGAACCCTAGTGATTTCCCACTCGGGTTTGTTGTAAATTCACAAAGTTTCTTTGTAGCACATAGTTTACGAATAAATGTCGTTAAATCCTTAAAAATGTAACAAATAGTTTTGGAAACATTTTTCACGTAGAATTCTTTGTGAAGTTCTGACATATTTTTTAACAGTGTGAACTCCATTATGAACACGAATGTTTGGTGCTGGTTCGAGTTACACTGGAAATGCAAGTGTGTGAATGTCGCTCACCTGCAGGTGAGCGACATTCCATTCGTACACTTAAGGGGGTAAACGTGTGAAATTTCCAGGAAAAATTCACACCTTTACCCCCCTAAGTGTACGAATGGAATGTCGCTCACCTGCAGGTGAGCGACATTCACACACTTGCATTTCCAGTGATTGCCCTTAGCTAGCCATTTAGAGTAAACAAGAAATAAAATTATGTTTCTGTAATTTCTGAATAAGACAGCGGCGTGTAGCGTAGTGAAAGTTATCCACTTTCGCCTTGAAGGCCATAATAACTGCTTGACAAACCGAGCACCTACTTTACCCGGACTTACCTCTGTGGACGTGGCAAGAGGCCTGAGAGTTTCCATTGGAAAGCCTTGTAGTTCCTTGCCGTTCCAGTCCCACCTGACGCTGACCAGATCTCCATCTAACTTAGTCACAACGCCCTCGCTGCGATGGCCGCTCACGTCGACGTCACACGTCCACTCCTCGGGCCAAGAACGATCACGGAGGACCTTAGACCCGACTCGTATGGGCCTCGATGACCACCAGCCGGCGTTGCTAACTTCTTCCCAAACAATGTGCGTGGAGTCCGCTGCAAAACGGATAGGTACAGAAGTCCGGTGATCAGTACACCCTCATAGACCTGTTCTGTTTATTTTGCCAGTTAAAACGTTAGAATTCTCTACCGCAGGAATTAATGATCAATTTGTAAATTATTCCCTATACTTAGTTTTGTTCAATGTTTTAATAAAAAGTCAAATTGCCAGTAATGTGAAAAGGAAATAACACGTATAGCTGATAGAAAATTATAGTCATTATTTCTGCTGGTTAGAAACAAAACCAAAAACAGTACTGAAAAAGGGCGGCGAAAAATCAGTAACGAAATGATAGTGTGCACGTAAGCACATCGGAAGCGAATGTAAAAACCTGCTTCCTGTAATCTCTCTAAGGCCAAAAATGTCCCTTCACATGTGTGTGCCTGTCTTACTGTTTATTGGGAAAGAGGTATGCAGGGTGGGTGAACCACGACGTCATTTTTTAATGCTTGCACTGTAAGTTGCTTCCGAACAATGGGTTCGTGATGCAAACCAAAACGTTCGTACCTTACGAAGGATTCTGAAGCGTTGTATTACGAACTAATTGTTCATAAGCTTACGAACTAATTGTTCATAAGCTAACGAACAAATAGTTCGTAATGCAAACCGATTGTTCGTAAGACCCTGTCTAGCCTTACAAACAATAGCTTAGCAATACGAATTTTTTTTTGCAATACAAAGAACGAAAATTGTTCGTAACGTTGCCAAGTATCTAGTTCGTAAGCTTTTTTACTGTGTATACTGTACCGGATTCTAACTTGCGGATGAGTTGCATACTCGCACGGCGCCGTAAGGCGCCATGGTGAGCGACGGTAGGCAAGCCCGCCCGCACGCATGAATCCGGTACAGTATTAGCATTTAAAAAAGACGGCGCGGATCACCCACCCTGTATCTACGAAATCAAAGTCTTCGTTTTACCTGAGTGGGAGAAACTCTCGTCAAAGTCGTCGGTCCGCGTCTCGCCATTCGACGAAACCGAAAGCTGCCTGGATAGCTCATGAGATCCTGCTCCATCCGCAAAAGTTGAACTCTTCGTTTTGTTCTGTGTATCACTTTCAGAAACTGACTGAAGGTCAGAAGACTTCTCCTTTACAAAAAGTATGGGACCTTTGATGAGCTTGGCACAATCCGTAGAAGATTGTTCTCCTGGGCTACGCAGATGCAGGTGACCCTCGCAAGCGGCGCTGCAGACAAGGAGTCTCAGAGCCGCATTCCCCTGCACCGGTAGGACCATTTCACAGAGGACCTCATCACCACACTGCAACTAAGAATCAAATAAAAATATAAAAACAAAATAATAAAAATATGGTTTTTGTTGAAGGAAACAGGGTCTAACATCTGGCCGAGAATGAGCATGTTGGCTCTAGTATCCATATACTATATCTCTTACAAGGGGCCCCATGGAAGTGTTAATCCCCGATTTTCTTTTACCCTAGGGGTTTTGCAGGGTGACAGCGTTTTTCCCCTTTTCGTGGGAAATAGCTACTCACACACACAAAAAAAATTCGTTATGCATAAACATGCCAAATTTTAAAAAACCATAAGTACACGCAGAAAAAACAAATAGCTAGACTAGCTAATCTCTGTTAGGACTCTTGTTTTAGCTGTGCAGCTAAGGCTGTTAGCTATGCAACTAATTTTTAGCCGTACTCCACAATCAAGTTAGCTGTGCACGTACGGAAAATATCTAATCAAAATTAGGAGGACAGTTTAACATTCTTGGTACCCCGGTTGCATTTTAAGGACTGCTCCAAAGAGTGCTTCCCAAATGCGTTCAAGGTAAACAAGGTAAACAATTGCCTAAGCTAGTTTATAATTAATTAACCATTACATTTTTTTAATTTATTTGTTCATTAACACCCTGGAGTTATTTTGCCTGTGTTTGCTCTTTATTTCATAATATTTTATTGGTTGTGGGTATGGTGGGGGCTCTTAATAATTTACTTGTACGTTCAGAAATATTTTTGCGAGGAAAGTTTTGTCATGTTTTGTCACTTATTTTATAATATTCTGTTTTGCTGTGTAGGAACAAAATATCAGTACTAAAACCAACACAGTACGCGGGCAAGTGGAAATGGAGAGCCTTCCTCTTCATTTGGAAGTCAACAGACCTCTCCAAGTGGTGAAGTCAGTACGAGAATCAGTTCAGAACGGGCAAGTGGAAGTGGAGAGCCTTCCTCTTTGTTTGATAGTCCACAAATCTCTCCAAGTGGTAGAGCAGGTTCAACCAAATCAAGTGCAGTTGTGTCGAATGTAGGTGATAAGGACAACCTGTTTGCCACGTTGGCTCAGATGAATAGTGGCTTCACACTCCCAAATTCTTCCAATGTCTCTGAGGACAAGAATAATGAGCGTGACTTAGGAAGCTCTAATAGTACCTCTGGGAAGAAAAGGCGCTGTGCGTCACCAATAGAGGAATCTGTGAGTAGAGATTTTTTGCACTTTCTATTTTCTTAGTCTGTGTTTCTTGATTTCAAAACATTAGTGTATTTTGGGTCGAAACTGTATCTCGATTTAAATTTGTCATTATTGTACTTTTTAGGATTTGAAGGAACTTTGTAGGAGCTGCCTAAATGGAAAGATTGTCCTTAACTATTATAAAGAGAAGAATGAATTGGATGACACTCATCGAAATCTTCTAGCAGATATTATCTTAAATGACTACTTAAAGGATGATGAGGAGCGAAGGTAAGTGTAAAGTTCAGAGTCTTACCTTTCTGGTAATTAAACATTTTTTCACTGTTGTAAAACATCTCTTATCTACAGGCTGCCCCATGACACCGAGTTGAATTTTTTTAAATCCATTGTAGAATTGTTCCCTTCAGAGAGTAAGGTATGTGTAAGGCAGATATTGTGTTATTTTTCTTAATAGCTTATAAACAAATCATAAGTGTAACTTTTAAACAATTGTTTCTAGGATATTTGGGTGGCTAGGGTTGCCCAAAAAAACGCATTTTTTGATTTTTGAGTGGGCATGTTGGCCAGAAGGTGCAATTTGGTGTATAGATAGACCATGATTTTTATTATGAAAATGGAACAATATTTGACCCTGCCGAAACGAGCTCAAACTTTAACATTACTTTCTTATGGGGAATTCTACTAAAAACTACAGTTTGGGCCTGGAGCTCAAAATATTACCTGTAGATGAAAAGTGTTGTAAGAATCGTGATCTACGCGAAAAACCGAGTCTGACGACATGCCACTTGCCAGTATCTACCATCGCATTTCGTAGAAATTATTCGTGAAATAATCACTTTTTTGAGGAAAAAATTGCAAAAAAGTGATTATTTCACGAATAATTTCTACGAAATGCGATGGCAGATACTGGCAAGTGGCATGTCGTCAGACTCGGTTTTTCGCGTAGATCACGATTTTTACAACACTTTTCATCTACAGGTAATATTTTGAGCTCCAGGCCCAAACTGTAGTTTTTAGTAGAATTCCCCATAAGAAAGTAATGTTAAGGTTTGAGCTCGTTTCGGCAGGGTCAAATATTGTTCCATTTTCATAATAAAAATCATGGTCTATCTATACACCAAATTGCACCTTCTGGCCAACATGCCCACTCAAAAATCAAAAAATGCGTTTTTTGGGGCAACCCTATTGGGTGGCATCATCCTCCCATATGAGGAACCAAAGTGTAGGCCGTGGCATGTTAATTACTAAGTACTTTGAATTCAGAAAGAAAGCCAAACGGGGTGGTTTGCTCAAGAAGCCAGATGCCAGACCTTCAACATCGGGAAATCACACAGACTTTCTTTGGCAACTGGTGATGGTATGTACACATGTTGGTTTGTGGGTGGTCTTTCAGTTTTGCTGCAGGCATAACATAACTGTTCAAGTACTTTCAGATTATGAGTTTGATGCAATATTGTATGAGGAGAATGACTTATGGTTGAGTAATAACAAGCATCCCTGGTCTGAAGTCCTTAAAGTTTGGAAAGAAACCTCCAAGCTGCGCATGAGAAATCTCCTAAGTGGATCCATTACTGTAAATGACTACTTAAAGAAATATCCAGCATTGCGGGATTTCTCAGGCTAGCTCCTGGTAAGTGGAGAATCATTCACTGTGGTTCATATTTTTCTTTAATTCTAAGAAAAATATTTATTTTTACTGCTATTACCTTAAATCTGTGTTATTGTTTTTCACAGCTTGAAACAGACTTTGAAATTTTTCATGAGGGTAGAGGGATGAGTTTATTTGCTGAATGGCCAGCTGCTTTGAAAAAAATGTAAAAGATACAAAAATAGTAGTTTTTGGTCCGTTGTGCACAATTGCCCCGGACCACATAGCAGACGTAAAGTATTATCCGTTCGGAAACGTTGACCTTGATAATAAGACACGCGGCCCTGGACAAGACACACAACTCGACGACAAGGCAAAATATGGAAAACGCTCAGGGTTTGTACGTTCGCCCGTTCGCAACGGTAACGATGGTCCGGACAAGACTGAACATCATACGGAAAAAAGTAATTCTGTCAGCAACAGAGTTTACTGTAAGAATAAATTTCGTGATTATACGAAATTTTCTCGGTTAATTTTCTAGTACGAAAACTTTGTTTGTAACCAATTACGATACATCGTTATTTTAGGAATTGCTTCGTAAAATCCAGAGCTCTAACTAAGGGGTATGAAATTTGCATATATTTTGTCAAATTTTATTACATATGACCCCGAAATTATTTGCATTCGTTACGAAATATATTTGTAACTTTACGAAATGTTTCGTAAATTGGCCCTAACGAAATATTTGCGTAAATTATTTTTTACGACGCATTTCGTAATACTTATTTTCGTAAAATCACGAAAACTTTTTACAGTGTTCCCTGACATACCTTCAGACTGCACGACGTTGACGTATTCATAAAGACGTCATTAAGGTGGGACGCACACGCTGCCAATCCCTGATGCGAGCCTGCAAAATAAGAAGCACCACGTTGTACCCATTAAATAGCATCACGACGCCGGAAGCTAGTGAGGCGATTGGTCTACAATGCTTTTACTTCGCTATTTCAAAATTTATTTTTCTTCAGTTTCTAGCACGAAATTTTCGTTGAATTAAATGAAATTTCTCTAATTTAAAGAAACGGTTTTCTAGGTGCGATGATATCCGTCTTCTTAAATGAAATATTAGCCAAAATCCTAAACATGATCATTGATGATTGCTGATAAATCAGCAATCATGCCATTGACATATCAGCAATCATCAATGATTGCTGATTTATCAGCATACACATACAATGTACACTGTTGAGTTTTCAGAGTAAAAATCACTGTACACCCCATGAGTGATTTCCCCCTCGCTTCCTCACGTCCAACTCGCGTAAATTTGCGGAAACTCTCGCTAAATCAGCGAAAAACTGCGCAACAATTCCCCCAAAAATTGATACAAACACGCGCAAACTTATTTGTACACTTAATTTGCAAGTGGGGGCCCCTCGCATTCCCCAAGGCTACCGGATCCCATAACTCCGGAACTATGGTTCGCACTAATTACAGCACCAACGGTACTTGCATTTCCAGCGAGCCGCTCTTATAGCGTCTTCCCACTTGGTCCCGTCCGCTACCTGCGCCGCTACCAGACCTTCGCGCAGCGCTGCAAAGTCTGACTGCTCGGCTGCTAGCACAGCAAGGCAGGAATCAAACTCGTTTCCAAGTGCCTCCCTATCAAGCTGTTGAATCAGATCATTCAGCGACTTCTCTGACGATCGCAAAGCTGCTACCTGCAATCAGAAAAGTTTATATTTTCCACGTCATGAGGCCACACGGTGCTAGTTCAAGTTAAGAAAGCCCAAAAGATAAAGTGTATCTCAAACGCTGTGAGAAAAATCCGTCGGTAGAAGTAACAGTTAATTCAACCTTGGTTAGGCGTCCATAAACTGTTTGGGTAATAGTATAGATCAGTGACTCTTTGACTGGTACCTCATTTTTCAGAATCGGGAATCCCAGCCGTTCAAGTGTTACGAAAAACAAACCAAAAATCTTTTTTACTTCGCTTCATTTTTTGTCCTTCATTCTAAACACTTGCTTCAGCTTGCTAGCTTACGGGCAACTTCAATGGCTCAGGCTCACTCACATCAGCCCCGCACGGTAAAAACAATGTCTCATTTTTTGAGGAAGAGGGGAAAACTTAGAGGGACTCCCATGTTTGACGAAGAGTCCTCCGATCTCGCCTCAGATTTTAAGGAATCTTCTCAAAAAAATGAGGAAAAACTCCCACATTTTTTGCGGAGACTTCCTGAAAATCTGAAGAGTTTTGGTCGAACTAGGAAGTTCCTAAAAGTTTTCCCTTTACCCTTAAAAAATGAGACATTGTTCCTACCTTGCCAGTAGAGATTAAGAGAAAAGAGCCCGACAGTTGGACAAATTGGTGGTTTCACAAATAAGATGCATATTGGGTCGCTTTTTTTTTTTCGTTTTTGAAAACGTTCGCAAGTGGAGGTTTTTCTATCTATAATGCATTAGGGGTATCTATGGAGAAAGAAAACGTTCTTTAGCGAGCTCCAAGCCACCTATTTCTGGGTGATTCCCCCAAAATGGCAAGGGTGGCTGTCCAAACGGTTTACCTCGAATATGTTTTGTACCATAATGATGTGGCAAGGTTCTTTTACAACTGGAGACGTTTGCTCATGCTAAAACACGACTATTTCAATTGAAAATAGCTCCGCACCATAAGTATTTATTGTAAAATATTTAGCATATGTTCCCTCCGTCACACCTAACCTACAAAAGGCATAATAACAAATGTTTTGTTTTTCAAGCTTTGTCAGGGTTACTTTACCACTTCAGAAATTGTCTAATTAACTATTTCAACTATCTCAATCGAAAACAGTAGCATAGACTAATAGTGTTTTATTCAAAATTGTCGAGTTTTGTCCCCTTCATCACGGTGTCCGATTATACGTATATCCGTTTCAACAGACCGATCTTCGAGATACTCTGCAATTTGTAACGGTTCACATTCGCCCGGCCTTGGCGACCTTGGGTTATCCACCCGCCCGCTTGTCCGGCAATAGTCGCAACACACTGTGCCTGCTGCACAAAGAAAAGAGTGCCCCCCCCCCCCTTCCCCCCTACCCGCCCGCGCCTGCCCACTGCTAGTCCCTTTTGAGCCTAGTCAGACGGCGAGGAGAGGAAGGTAGAGTTTTGCGGACTTTAAATGATGCGTAGCCGCCTATCTTGCAAACAATTTTTCAATCGCCAGAAGGGACACTAATAAAATAATCAATATAAAACTACGACCAATTTAACTCAAAACTACCGGGATAACTGTAACTAATTACAATTTTTGGCGAAAAAAATGTAAACGTAACTGTAGTCTTTCAGAAAAAGGAACTGTAACGGAAACAAGTTACATTTTTGGCAAAAATAACTGCAACTGTAACTAGTTACATTTTTAAAAGTAACTTTCCTATCCCTGATAATAAGTTCAGTTGTGGTTTTGTCACGCACGAAATAGGGTTAGTTTAACGGACTTCAAAACGAAGAAAATTATATTTACCTGATCACCTTCTGACCACCAGACTCCTACTACTTTATTATACAACGGTGAGCACTAACTACACACTGCACGCTACGAGAAATTTGAGATAACTGCAACGGTTTTACGAATTCTGACAAACCTGGTGACACTTTTTAAAGTATTCGTTTCTCTTCTGTTGAATGTTTTGGGACCTCGATATAGCAGTAATACGATGTATCATAGAGTTGTTTAACGAAAAACATGGGTGGTTTGACCAGGTTCAAAAAGGTACGAGCGATGATAACGAAAACAGACAGTAAAGCGGGGTCGAGGACAGCGCATTTTCCGTCTGCTAGGGAAGTTTAAGATATATTTAATGATGATGTAATGTGTTTGAAAGCAATTAAGGGGACACTATGGTGAAATTTGGAAGTCTGGGAGCCTATGTTTCTGAACATTTTCCCTTTTAATTTCTTAAAGCATTCACAAAATAGGACCTTCTCTAGCTTTCTCAGAATTTTAGGAGCCACCCAAAGCTATGAAAATCTTAAAATATGTTAAAACAGTCCTATCTTTGAAAAGTTCCATGCGCAAACTGGTTTGAATTATATTGCCAAATCTTATGTTAAAATGTTCTATTATACACTAATATTAAAACTCGGTATGGATATCAAAATCAAACAACAGGAGTGTCCTCAGCACATTTTCCAATGGGAAGCCCATGAAAACTCTTCAGGAGTTAGTACCTTTGGCTTGTGTGGGTGGCTTAGACATCTTCGTTGTTGTTGACAATGCCGGCAAATAAAGTTGAATACCTAACCATTAAATGCATATGAGCCCCAAAGTTCCATCCCTAATAGCTTTGCGCAGGGAATCTTTCAAAAACTGCGATTTTTAGACCAAAAATGTCCTCATTTTTTTTCACCATAGTGTCCCCTTAAATGGGCTTGCCAAGTATCAGACACGCTATATTTTGGTAATAATGTGTTCGTTTTAGCTACGGTGACGATTGGGAGAAATACAGATGAGTTGAATTCTCGGACACCGACATGCATCTTATTTGTGAAATCGCCCAAATACTAAAGAAGGCTGCAATACTCCACGGTAAGACAGTGTCTGATTGTTTTAGGCAAAAGGGAAAACTTAAGGAGGAACTTAAATATTTGAGAACTCCTCAGATCTCGCCTCAGAAGAATCTTCTCAAAAATGAGGAAAATTCCCAAATTTTTCGGGGTGACTTCCTCGAAATCTTAGAAGTTTTCCTCTCACCTAGGCAGTTCCTTAAAGTTTCCCCTTTCCCTGAAAAAAACAACAACAAACAGACACTGTTTTTACCGGAACCACAGAACGGAACAAGTGAAGTAGTAGAACATAATTGAAAGGGCTGAGTCTGCAACAGGGTGTCCACTTCCCGGTGCCCTTTGGAATTCCCGGCTAATTCCCGGTTTTTCCCGGTCCCAAAAACGACTTTTCAAGCCAATTTTTCGGTAAGTATAGCAATCGTGCAAAAATACTGAGACGCTTAAAATAGGGTGTTCAGAGTAATGCAATCGAGTAAAAAAAAATTGAAATAAAAAAACATTTTATTTGAACGATAGGATTTAGTCATTGTCCACGGCGGCGCTACGCTTGCAAGAAAATTACAATTTTCCCGGTGCCCGTGGCAATTTCCTGGCTAATTCCCGATTTTTCCCGGCGCCACAAAATTCCCGGCTAATTCCCGATTTCCCGGAATTTCCCGGTGAGTGGACACCCTGCTAGACTGATGTCA